AATAAAAGGGGGCAACGGAATGACTGTTCACAGATCCTTCGTTATCCTGTAAGCGCACAGTCGAATAGTACTTCAGAAAGTTCTGCTTCTACTTGTGTATCTTATTTTGAGAATCTTAATTATGAGAGCAATTTCAGAATGCTGGCCGCAATACTTCTTCCGGCATTAGCGTGTGTCTTTCTGCATGCAACCCGTGAAGTGATGGCCCAAGGAACCATTTTTGACATCAACGGTGAGTCTAAAATTTTGACAGCGAGTTAGCGGCAATAACTTTTCACTATTTCAGGTGAACCAGAAGAATCAGACCTCGAAGGTCATCCTGGTGGAGAAGTTGGTTTAGGTACGGGAGGTGCACCAGCGTGTTGGGTGGACCAGCTGGACCAGGCTTACATCACACAGCAGGCGGCTTTGCCATGAAGAACCAAGCAAGTGGAGCACACGGAGTTGGCTCACGTGGTGTCTCGATTGGACCCCGCATGGGCGGGAGTCCAAGCATGCCAGTCAAGCCAAGCGGATCTACCACGAATGGAGGGCGTGAAAAAGTAGTCTCTAATTTTGTGAAAGGTCTACAAAGCCTGCTCGATTACATGACCGATGCTACATGATTTTCATAAAAGTTTGGAGCAAACGTGCGACTTCCTCTTAATAGATGAACATGTACAATTTGGCTGCTATTCCATTTTTCAGATGTAGAATCCCTCAGTTAAAATGAATTTGCGGACAATTTTCACAATCGATATTTCTGATATCATTGCCATTAAGTGACCTAAGACTGACTCACAACTCTTATCGTATATCACTATGAGCTTTGCGTTTGTGGTGGCAAAAGATCATGCGTCAAGTTCCGAATATGAAAAATGTCTTCCAAGAAGATTCACCTCCTGGAAAAGTTGATCTCTAGATGGCTGGAAGTGGAGCTTATTGAGTTTTGAGTTGGAAATTCTGAAGTTAGAAGTTGATGTTTTCAACATGTTTGTACCCTTCCTTTCAAAAACGAGAAGAGCGTCGGGTGCAGACCATACACCACAAGTGACGACGGCCTCCACAAAATGTAAATGTTTTCTGCCAATGAAATGATTAGCCTGTTGCAGTTGTATTCTATCAGTTGTCAATCGGCTATCATTTACCAAAAAACAGCTATCACTAACCAGATTTTCTTAAAGGCATGCCCCAGGATCACATTGGTGTGGCTCTTGCACACGAATGCGAATGTATTGGTGCGAAAGTGGGCCGGCAGTAAAGAAAAAAGGAAAAGAATCCGTCGAAAACGCTCAGGTTAAGGGCTCACTCACCTTCCTAATCGGCTGTGCTAAGGGAATGAGAGACTAAGCGCGGAGAGGAGAGTGAGGCGAGAGAGCGCTACAGATGAGAGAGCGCCAGACAACAGCCTGATAAGAGAAAAAAGTCTGCAGCTCAGCAGCTTACTTTGCAAGGCCAAGCGCTCTCAT